ACCTGGGTCCTCCGTTGAGCGGGCCTCCCATCGCCACCTCCTCCGTGCAGATGGGCGCCGTGGACCTCCTCGGAGGTGGCTTGGACAGCCTGGTACGTCACAGCCCTGCGTGCTCCTTCCCTGATGCGCGGCTGCCCTGGCAGCATCGTGCTGGGCTTGATGTTGACTTCTGTCTGGAGCTCCTGGGGCCGGGATGGGCTTGTCCACCTGGAGACACCTGGGCTAGTACTTTCCTTCTATAGCTGGTGAAGATAGAGGGGCACTGCACCCTAATTTATCTTGTCCTTATCAGATGGCTGGAGTGGGGGCGTGCTCCTTCCCTGATGCGCGGCTGCCCTGGCAGCATCGTGCTGGGCTTGATGTTGACTTCTGTCTGGAGCTCCTGGGGCCGGGATGGGCTTGTCCACCTGGAGACACCTGGGCTAGTACTTTCCTTCTATAGCTGGTGAAGATAGAGGGGCACTGCACCCTAATTTATCTTGTCCTTATCAGATGGCTGGAGTGGGGCAGGGGATTAGTGCTCCTGAGTGCCTTTTCTCTCGGTACATGAGGTCTGTGGAGATGCTCCCACTGCTGTGCTGCAGGGGTGACTCCTCTTCCTGGGTCCCCCTTTGAATCCCAGTTAACCCTCAGAGGCACCGTTAAACCACCCTGTGGGATCGAGACGTGCCCGCTTCCAGCCCGCGGGGTGCTTTAACGGGTATCTCCTGCGCCGGGAGATCTGGAGGTGACAGCTTGTCCTTCTAGGAATGCAAACCAAGCAGCAGTTTGGCCACAGGGTGAGGGGGGATGGAAACCTCTGCCTGGCTGGGACTGCCTGCCCTGCGGGTGCCGGCGATGATCCGGGCTTCCCAAAGGACAAGAGTTTGGAGTTTTCTCCACTGCTTGTAAAAGGCAGCAGAGAGGGGGAGGCAGCATCGCTGTCTCTTCGCCTGCTGCCTCTCCTGGTCCGTAATCCCCCAAGTGCTGCCCTGGCTCTTCGTGGGCTTGGTAACGGGCCGGTGCTGAGTGCAGGGACGAGAGACCCCACTCACGCTCCATCCCCGGGCTCCAGGGCAGCCTCGGACGGACAGATGGACGGGTTGGCAGCGCAGCAGGACTAACCTCTCTTCCCTCGTCCCCTTCTCTTGTCTCTCTGTTTTTTGTCTCTTCTCTCCTGGCTTGTCTCTGCATGTGGCTGGCTCTTCTCTCCGCCTTGCCTGCTTCTGCTTGGAGATGGGGGACGAGTCGGAAGGGGTATGGATCAGCCTGTTTCTTGGCCCTCTAGATCACGCGTAGCCCCAGTGCCCGTGCCCACCCGCAGGTGCCCCTGCTCTCCTCGCGCAGCCTGAGCCTTTGTGTTTGGTGTCCCAGTGACACCTCGCTTCCCTCTGGGGACAGCCAGGCCCCCAAACAGCTCCTGGCATGCCAGGGCTGGGACCGCTGGAGCATCCCTAGCGACTCTGGGCCCTCGCTCGCCCACACTGATGCTTTTAGAGAGTGCCCTCGACGGGGCATTTTGTGGGACCCCTGTGCTCTCGGTGTGCTGGCCCCTGCCCCTGCTGATGCCCCTTTTTTGTCTCTTGCAGCTGCGAAGCGATGTGGGAGGCAGCCCTGCCGTGAGTGTGCCCTCGTGCCCGAACCCCTCTCTCACCCTCTGCATCCTCCTCATCCTCCTCCTCTCCCCTGCCCCGCGGTTTCCCCCCTAACCCACTCCCTTGTCCCCCCACAGATGGGCGGCGGCGGCAGCTTCGCACCAGCGCCCAGCACCGCGATGCCCGCAAACCTGGGGGCACCCCTCGGCAGCGGCCTGGGAGACCTCTTTGACCTCACTGGTGGGGTGGGGACCCTGTCGGGATCCTACGTGGCACCCAAAACGGTGAGTGGGACAGCTAAACTGCTGGCAAAGCTCGGGGATGCGGCATTAAGGGGGGCAGAGACCCCCAGTGCCCGCTCCACGCTGCAGGGCTTCCCAGGGGGGAGGTGGAAGATGAACCCCCTTTTCCTGGCATGGTAGCAAGCCGAGCGAGGGTGGTGGTCTGCAGATGGAGAGGACGTTACAGTGCTTGCCTGGGCACGGGGATGCGGGGCAGAGGCGGTCTGCGTGCTCTCCCGGGTGGCACAGAGCCCTAAGCAGAGGGAAGAGGAGGGATCTGTCAGGTCACGTCTCTGATTTTTGGGGCCGTGCTGTTTCCCGGTGTGTGGGGTGAAGTTTGGAGGACTCAGCAGCAGCATCCCGCAGCCCTGGTTGGGGTGAGGATGACTGTGCCTGCGCCGGCTGTGTGTCGGTAGCTGTGAAACGCTCCTGGTTTACAAATAACCTGCGCAGCTCTGCCAGGGCTGGAGAGCACCGAAGGGTTCGCTCTGGGTAAAACCCCAAGGGTTTCTTGTCTCCTTAACCCAGGTCTGGCTCCCTGCCATGAAAGCCAAGGGGCTGGAGATCTCCGGCACCTTCAGCCGGCAGGTGGGCTCCATCTCCATGGACCTCGTGCTAACAAACAAGGCTCTGCAGGTCATGTCCGACTTTGCCATCCAGTTCAACCGTAACAGGTGAGGTCCCTCGTGGGCTGCATCAACAGCAACCGGTGAAGGTGCCGTGTGACACCTCCGAGCTCAGCCCTGGAGCGGTTGCGTGCGGAAAAGGGTGGGAGGAAGGGGGCCACAAGGCTGTAAGGGCTGGGAACAGCCTCACATGATGACCCTTCTCTCTCTGATGGCTGTGGTGGTGATGATCATCAAACCAAAGCCTCTAAGAAGTTGACTGAAGAGGCTGTTCCTCTGGGGTCTGACTACTGTCCCGTTGTTTGTCCTCCTGGTGAACCGATGCTTCCGTTTCCCTCAGAGGGACACAACAAGGGATGGCCCTGAGGGAATGGGGCAGGAACGCTAAAAATGGGTGTGAGTCTGTAGGAGGAAGGGGTGAGATTTTGGGGTTACCTGTTATTGCCCCAGGCAGGAGCCAGCCTGGTCCTGGGCAGCAAGATGAGCTGGGGTGTTCTTGGGTGGAGGAAGGCAGGGAGTCCTGAGGTTTGCCCGGAGCGGATGGCGGTGCCTTCTGCCATCAGCCGCTGCCCCCCACCCTGACCCCCTGCCCTCTTCGGGTGTCCCCCCAGCTTCGGCCTGGCCCCGGCAGCTCCTCTCCAGGTCCACGCTCCTCTCGCCCCCAACCAGTCCGTGGAGATCTCCCTTCCGCTGAACACCGTCGGCTCTGTCATGAAGATGGACCCCCTGAACAATCTCCAGGTGGGGAACGCCTGGGGGTCTCTCCCTCTTGGGGATGGGGCAGGGTTCGCTCCCTTCTCTGTGCTCCCTCGGGTGGGAGGTGTGACAGCAGGAACCAGGCGAGAAGAAACGCTCAACTCGTCATCTCTCTGCTGTCAGAGCTCAGTCTGACTCCAGTTTGACATCCAGCTCCGTGCAGACCGCTTCCTCTGCGAGGAAAATCCTCGCTGACAGCGGCAGAGCCGAGCCTCGGCTGAGCATCTGCTCGCAGCGTCCCAGCGCAGGGAGAGATGGTGGAGCCGTGGTTCCCAGGAGGGAGCGGGGAGACCAGCTAAGGGGGTGCAGCCCGGCAGCTCCCCCGTTTTCCCCTATACGCTGGGGACAGTGGCACGCCTGGGAGCACGCCAGCATGCGGGGTGTGGATGGGGG